ATCGTTAGTTCTACGCGTTTGAGTCCGGCTGTTTGAAGATGCATGAGGTAATTGCTTTTGATCGTAGATTACTAGAATTAGTCAACTTCTGCACTAATGATTCTCGCCTCTAATCGTACCTCATATTGTCTAAGTTTACAGCTAAGGGATGAAACACAGGCAGATCTTTTCCTACGTGTTCGTTTGCACATGACCTTACAACATGTCATACGGTTTCGTGCCACATGAGTCGCTCTACAATCTTTTCGCGTACATCATGACTTCGCCTTCTTAAACTAACTCCATCGTAAGGGTGAAAATTTGCTGACTTTAGCCGCCCCACATTTTGTTTGCTTTTGGGCCAGTTTGAGATTATGTTTCAGCCTTCTAACGGCCGCAAATTCTAAGTTTCTCTTTAACAAGCAAAACTTAACCAAAATGTGGGGCTTACCTGAAATATTCTATTTCGATTTCATGAAATTAGCAAACGAATCAGCGTATCTGTTCGCTTGTTGTAATCGAAGTAGTATTACTTGATGATTCTACTGTTCATTTTTCTGCTTTATCATTTTCTGAGAGATGCCATTACTGCTGCATCATGTTTAGGACAACAAATTTCCCAGAAATGCAGTAGATCACATGAGGGTGTGGCGTTATAGCAGCTTAAAACCAAATATCGAAGCTAGTCATACTTCGGCATTCGTCAACTCATTCACTCCTTCCTGTTGTTTTACTTCTCAAGATCATGCCTACGATGAACAAGGAATTTTAGTACTATGGAAATTGTTGAATGTGGTATGTGTTGGAGAGCGCTTCTCATTCTCAGTGGATTATTTCTCATTGTTTTTCCAGCAAATTTACGTTTTCCTGTTGTTTTTCTGTTGTCATTTTCCTGTTATGTATTTTTTTGTTGTTTTTCTGCCTTCATAATTTTTTTTTCTGCTCCCTTCCAGAGCGATATTGACACAAAAGTGCTGGCAGTTCAGCATCACAAATTGTCGGAGCGTTTCCGGCTCAAGGAGCGTCAGGCGGCACAGCTTCAGCATCGTGTTGAACAGCTGGAAAGTAGACAGGCCCGCGATGACGCAATGGTGTGCACCATCAACCGGTTCTGGAACCATGTAACTTTTTCCTCTTAAGATTTTTCTGATTTCTTGGATTTCGAAAACTGTTTTGTCGTAGAATGGTTCTAGTTATGAATTCAGAGCTGCTTAGCTAGCGTATTCTGGACCTGTTTGTCCTCGAACTGAAGAGCGATCTGTAATCTTCATTGGCAAGCAGCTGTCTTTCGGATCACATACTTGGGGATATTCGTATCTCATCGAGAGAAAGAGAGTCAAAAATGAACAAAAGATATGGAGTTGGCTTATTTTCGTAGGCGGATATGAGCGAAATGCTGTTGATTCAGAGAACCCAGGCTGGAGCGCACCAGGCGGGCCTGTGCCACTACGCGTTTTTGCACTTTTTGTGCCCTAGCAAGATCGCAAGGAATCAAAGCAGCTAACCCCGTGAAATGCTGGCCCTCGAAGTTCGGGAAGTTAATTGTGCAACTATTTGGTATGTCAGTTGTAGGTGTCGACTTCAGTGATCCGACAAGTGGAAAGTTGCTGGTCCGCAAAAAAAAGCCACATAAGAAGAGACAAATTTAAAATCTTTTAATCGCACATGAGCAGGGAACATACCCTTAAAATTAAACCCTGCAGCTTTTCCCGTTCCCGGCTTAGTAATTTTCGCGCCAAAATTTTCACATGCCCATGCGTGGGCTCGAGTGCTTCCAAACACCTGATTTTGCTCGCACATGAGTAGGGAACATCCCTTAAAATTACACACACACACTGACAGGGTCGTTGCAATATGCGTTTTGCTGCCTGTTGCAGCGCTCTAGCGCTTCACAGCAAAAACGCATAAAAATGAAAGGCGTCTCGCTTAAGTGCACTTTATGATTTGCTGCATGCAAGTAGATCTACGCGTAATTCCACGCATTTTCGAGATTGGTTGCGAAAATTGCCAGATGCGTCCGCCTGTCGTTGCCGACATAGGCCACACTTCAGCCGCCTTATTGACGTCGATGTCCAGAAGGAATCTCATAGTAGGCAAGCGAAAGGGGAAAAAAAGGTGCGACGATGGGGCGGTTGATGTGTAAGCAATAACGTAGACTGTGGTTGATTTTTAGTTCGATGAACATGTAAGGACGCTGCTGCAAAGGTTCGACGCCGAAACAACTGTGGAGGGTGAAATTCAAAGTAAGTGGCTTTTTTGCAGTGTCAACAAATGAAAGGGTAGGCGCTGACTGCTTATTAAAGATTAAAAGAGAATATCAGGACAAGAAGGAAACAGTGAAAAGGAGGAAAAGGATATTAAAATAGGTAA